CAAAAAAAAAAAACAAACAACAAAAAACAACAAAACAAACCAAACAACAACAAACAACGCTAAAAAAACAAACCAAACCAAATCAAAGCAAAAAAAAAACCCTTCGTGAAGTCCAAAGAAGTCAATTACAAAAAGTTCAGACTACGGTACTGAGACAGTTCGTCAGAAGTAAGAAGACAACAGAGAAAGAGAGAGGGTGGTCACTGAGGTGTGTCCTTGAGCAAGACACGACAACCCAAGCTCAACAAACAGGAAGCTGCACAGCGGCGACCAGCAATGGCATGTTTGTAAAATTGTTCTGTATTGGTGTAATATTGTGTATTTATGTATGTGCATGTGTAATAATATTTATTTATTCATGAATGTTCTCAGGTCTCTGGTAATAGTATAGATTGTGAAACGCATAGAGCTTGCTATTGATCGGGGATTTGCGCTATGCAATGCAAATTATGCTATTGTCATTATTATCACTATTGATTTGTATTACCTCATATAGTGCTCCACTGTCCAACACAAAGCCTTCACGAGAATTTCTGTGGGGTCACAAAAATCGAAACAGACATAATGCGTTTGCTTCTAAGCACAATGGGGTTTTCCCCAAAAAATGCTGTTTTGAGAAAATAAAAGGTAAAGTTTCTGCCCGTTGTTCAGTTTCTATAAAACACAAGGAGAGTTTTCTCTTTAACCAAACAAACATATACACCAAAGAAACCAAACGTCTCCTATAGGTAGGGAAATACCCACTTTTGGTGTAGGTCAAGATTTCTGGAAACCCCCGAAATCTGGGTTAGCCCGCTTGTCCTTAGAAGCGACCAAACCAGAAGTTTATTATAGATACAACTTGTAGCGCCTTAGTTGCACGACTCCAACGTGCAAACTGGTCTAGGTTAGAATAATGTTGTTTTAGTATTAATGAGCATATAATAATTTGTCGAAACGTGGTGGAATCAGGAGCTCGTCAACGTTGTGGCATGAGGCGTCATTGGTATCACATTGGTATCACGGTAAAGCTGGTTCATTTGTCTTGCTTTCGTTAGAAATATGACTCATCTGTCTTGAATAGCAGTCGCGATATTTGCAATTGAAGGAGATGGTGTTGCTTGGTTTCAGAAGTAGAATAGAATAATTAGCGGTGAAATTGCCGACAAAGTTGGGTGACTACAAAGCTTGAGAGTCCTTGGAAAATGCAAATTTGCATCCTTTGTGCATTTGATCAGCGTTTTTCAGTAAAATCTACACATGAAGGTGTTTTTAAATGGACATTAAAGATGCATAGTTAAAAAAAGAACATTCGAAAATAAATGGTCGACGGCCACAAAAATGCAGTTTTCTTTGATTCCATTATTTCGACGAGCGCCTGATTTCACAACAATGCCTCACACATGTATAAAAGGCTAGAGAATAAATGATAGTTTTGTCTGTACTGTGCTCTCAACTCGACGTCTTGTGAAGTTACTAGAAACTATAATTGTCAGTGACCATTGTCAGGATCGGTTCGATTCGATCAACTCTCAGCCTTGAAATTAAACAACAAAAAATCGTTCGAATTGTGCCATGATAGTAGCTGTTGCCCTTCCATAGACTAAAATCTGACTGGCCCCGACTCAATTCGACTAACCGAACGGCGCCGACGAACAGAACCGAACCGAAACCAATCCTGACAATTATTGGGACCACCCACACTAGGCCTAGTAGTTCTAGTGTGTGCCTAGTCAACGATTATATATCATATTACAACGAACCAACAAAACAACCAACCAACCAACAAACAAACCAACCTCCCTATCAACTAATCAACCAACCAACCAACCAGCGAACCAGCCAACACACCAACCAACCAACCAACCAACCAACCACTCACCCACCCACCCAACCAACCAACCAACCATCTAACCAACCAGCCAACCACTCACCCACCCAACCAACCAACAACCAACCAACCATCTAACCAACCAGCCTACCAACCAACCAACCAACCAACCAACCAACCTACCAACCCACCTCCGTCCTCTATACACCGCAGTTCCTCAGACTTGAGCAGAAAGTCCTGCCGACGGGGAGTCCCCACATACTGCCTCGTTTTTATCCACACTTGGCTTGCGGCTGTGACCGGAACAGTAACCCTGACGACCAGTCACATGACATGACTATTTATAGGCCTATAGACTAAGCAGCAAACTCTTCAGCTTACAAAAATACCAAACTATACAGGAAGGGCAGCAGCAGCAGCTGCAGCAGCAGCATCAGCAACAACAGCTTTTAAGTGGGTTTTTTCCCAACCAAAACAACAGAGAGAGAGAGAGAAAGAGAGAGAGAGAGAGAGAGAGAGAGGGAGAAAGAGAGAGAGAGAGAGA